CTGAAAGCTTCTTTCGTCAAGAAGGACCAGAAGCATTCTTGGTAAGAAGCCAAGAAAGCACATGGTAGGTCTCAGAAGTCAGAAACCTCCACTTCTGATGAGAAGAAATATCATAAGGGAATGAGGAAGTTTGACAAGAAGAAGGTTCAATGTTACTGCTGCAAGCAGTTTGACCACTATGCTAAAGATTTTTGGTCAAACAAGGGAAGGAAATCAGAAGAAGAAAATATAGTCATAAGAGATTCTAATGATGAACTTGTGCTATTAATGGCTTCTGAGTCTGATGGTAAGTATTTAGTAGACTGGTAGTATATGGACACTGAATGCTCAAATCACTAGACTGGAAACAAACAATGGCTGGTTGATTTTGAATCCAGAAGGAGGACAAAGATCAGATGTGCTGATGACAAGTACCTTAATGAAAAACGTATGGGAAATGTCAAAGTTAGAGTAAAGAATGGAAAAAATATTTTGATCAAAGATGCTTGACATGTTCCTCGAATAAAGGGCAATCTGATGCGTCTGGGTCATCTCATTGAAAAAGGTTTCTCAGTTACTATGAAGAACAATCTCTTAAAGTTGTATGATTCTAATCAAAAGTTGATTATGCAGTATGAGCAGGAGAGCAACAAAACATTCAAGTTGAATGTGGAGAAACCTTAAACAAAATGCCTTAGTGCAGAAGGCGTTGAAGGTGATAGTAAACTGTGGCATAAGATATTGGGGCATCTGAACTACAGAAGTTTAGGATATTTAAGTTCTAAGAAGCTCTTGCATGGCATTCTGAAGAATGCGGAGCTTGAGAAATCATGTGAGGTATGCATGAAAGTTAAGCAATCCAGATTTCCATTTGCGTCAGAAGTAGCCCCAAGATCAAAGCATGCTTTGGGAATAGTGTATTCTGATATATATGGACCATTTCTAGAATCTTCACTTGGAGGAAACAAGTATTTTGTGTCATTTGTGGATGAGTTCACAAGAATGACATGGGTAGCACTCATTAAGTGTAAGAATGAGGTGTTTACTGAGTTTCAGAAGTTCAAGGTGAAGTTTGAGAAAAAAAGTGGTATAAAGTTGAAAGTTCTCAGAACGGATGGTGGAGGTGAGTATAACTCTACATAGTTCCCAGATTTTTGTGAGGAGAATGGAATAGAACATGAGGTTACTGCTCCATACACTTGTTGGAGCGGTGTAGCGGCAAGCAACAAAAGTTTTGGAAATATTTATCCAAGAATTTATCGTGTCCATAAAGATTGGTTATTGAATTGTCGTTCGACAAATCATTCATTAATGGGTTTGAGGATAAATGGGTGGAAAAGAAAAGTATCGACAGAAAATAAATGTAAACAAAAGAAAAAACTAAGGAAGAACTTATCAAGTCTGCATATAATCTACTCATCACAGACTTAAATCTACCGACCATTTATATTCAACTTAACAATACTCATCAATGTCACTACGTATCACTCACAACCTAAGTCATTTCTAACCCAAATCGAGAGACCGATTGTATCACCAAGGAAATGATCTCTCTACCTCTTCAACAACACAGAAGACAACTATGTAATCGCACTGACGATCTCTCAGCACAACACAACCATATAGAGGCATTAAGCTCTGATACCCAAGTAGATGTCAGCTCTAAACCTATCTCTAGAGTTCAGAAACTAACAAATAATCATCCTAGATAAGAATCTAAGCAGTACATATCTATAACAACTCAGATCCCTAGCACAGAGCAAAAATCTAGGACAACAATCCACAAAGATTTGTAAAGCAAGTTTAATATAACGTCATGGGTGACAAATATACATAAGTTCAGAGTAAATACATGTACAAAATCCAACAAAAGAGAAATACATAGAGAGGAGGAGAGATAAACCATAAATATTTTGGATTGTAAGAGCCATTCGACGAGCAATCCATCCCGGATTTTCCGTATGCAGGCCCTAGTGTTGTTATCTAAGCTAATCCACTATAAAAATGAGGTTGATGGAGTTAGGAGACAAAAATTCACCCCCAAAACCATAACTCTCCAAATGAAATGAAAAGGAAAATATAACAAAATTGTGATCTGCAACCGTTGCCCGACGGTACAACTCACGTCGCCAGGCGACGACTTCTATACACTTGGCCCAGAATAAGCCACATCTTCAACTGAAACAAATATCTATCATCGTCCGGCAACCACAATTCATCGCCCGATGACTCTCCTTATTTTCTCCCGGCGATATAGATGCGACGCAAGACAGAGACTTCATCAAAATTGGTCTTCAAAATTTCGCGCGGCGACGCATGATAGGAGCAATATGGTAATTTGTCTTACAAACTTCGCTCGGTGACAACTTTTTTTCACCCGACGATCCATGACAGTCCAACAACTTCTGTTGCTTTCCTGCGTAACTTCCTCTGGCTCCAATTTTTCGCCTTATTCCTTTATTGATCCAAAATGAATCTTTGAGATTTATTCCTCTTGCTCCAACAATGCTCAAATACCTACAAAATTAATACAAAACTATCAAATGATACACTTTATACAAAAAATGCATTATACACAAAATAAACATATTTATACACAAATTTGGGTTCTTCAATTGATATTAACAATCAAGATTCGATAAGTGCAACAAAAAGTATATATAAAATAACTACACTTTTGCACTTATCAACACTCCTCGGCACAATGGTCTTATTGAAAGAAGAAATAGAACTTTTCTTGATAAATCAAGAAGCATGCTGAAAGAGAAGAAGTTACCTCATACTTTGTGGGGAGAAGTTGTTGCCACTTCAGTGTATGTGCTCAACAGGTGTCCAACGAAAAAGTTGAAGGAAAGTGTTCTTTTAGAGAAGTGGACTGGAGATAAGCAAAGTGTGAGTCATCTTAGGGTATTTGGTTCTTTTTGATATAAACATATTCTAGATGCTAAGAGAAAGAAGTTGAATGATGCAAAGTGATGTTATTAGTGGGTACCACAATACATGTGCTTATAAGCTTTATTGTCCAATCACCAACAAGGTGAAAGTCAGCAGAGACGTCATTGTGAAGGAGTTAGAAATATGGGATTGGAGCTAGTCTCAATGCACTTCTGCTGTAGTGCCAACACTAGAGATAACTTCTGAAGATACTTTAGAAAGTCCTGAAGATGAGTCAGAACTTGAAAGTTTTGAAGAAGAGTCAGAGTCAGAAGATGATTCCGGAGACTCTGAAGATGAGAATCCAAAGATGATTCTGATGGTGAATCTGATTCTGATTCAGATTTAGACGATGATCCAGAATCTGGTGGTGATCATACTTCCGGAAGGGAAAACTCATAAGACTTAGGTTCTAAAGGACAAGCTTCTAGAGTTAGTACTTCTGAAGGTAGTGGTTATAAAGAACGAGTTCAGAGACAACAAAGAATCAGACAAATACCAAGAAGGTTTGCAGAGTTTGACATGCTGCAGGACACTGAAGTAGGTTCTGAGGGAGAAGTCGTTTAATGTGCCATATTAGTAGATTTTGAACCAACTGGTATTGAAGAAGCTCTCAAGAAGAAAGTGTGGTTGAATGCCATGAAAGAAACAAGACTTAGGAGTTAACTGAGCTTTCAAAGGAGAAGAAAGCCATCAGCGTCAGATGAGTTTTCAAGGTGAAATATGCATTTCTGAATGAAGTATTAGAAGTTGCACACTATAGCACCCAGAAGCAATTTGTAAATGTTCTGACGAAAAATATCAAGACTGGACACTTTATTCATTTAAGGGATGGAATTGGTGTTGTAGAATTTTGGTTAGCTGAATATGAATTAAAGGACGGTGCTGAAAGTAATTCATATACAGAAGTTGTTGTTAGAACTAAAAGCTTTTGAGACTGGTTAGTTAGAAGCAGTAGTTCTAGAACCTTTTGTGACATTTACTCAGAAGTAATGTTGCTCAGAAGCAGAAACTTATGAGGTGACTATTTCAGAAATGTGTTTAGCTTCTGGAGTTAAATTTATTTTGTTAGCTTAACTATTAAATTTAGTTTGCTTGTTAACTTAATTATTATATTTACCTTTTATTATGACTTACGTGACAATATATTTCGTGTATATAAACAACTTTATATTTAAGATTTTAAATAAGATTTTAATATATAATTTCTTCTTCAACAAATTGTTGTAGTACGGCCTTTCTTTTTTCTCTCCTTCCATTTTACCCTCATCTTGCATTTTTGTGCACCAACAAAATTGTAAAATGACACATAATAAAGAAATTTATTAAAAAAAGTAATTGTTACACATAAAAGTTATTCGTTAATTACATTATCAATTCTTTTTAATATGAGAATTACATTATCAATTCTTTTTAATCGGAGAAAATAGGATATGCATTATAATCGTAAAAATGACACTAATCAACATCGTATATTCCACTAAATAATGCATATAATTTAAAATTACAACCGAATAAAACTATTTTTCATTGTTATTGTTAGTAAATATTCGTTTTTGATATAGATAAAATATTTATAACATTTTATAAATACAAACCAAACTTACAAGCCAAGCAAGCCCCTATTTCACTGCCAAGTAAAAATAAATAAAAATAGAGAAAAGAAATGCAAATGAGATAATTAAGAAACCGATAACATTGGTGAGAGATACATGTTATCTTTGACTTCGTATTTCGTCAAACAAACCTATCATCAACCTTTATTTTCTCTTCCAAAAGGTAACGATTCTGTAACATGCAATGAACAATCAAATTTTGAAAAGAACATAGGAAAAAGTAAATGTTTATTTATGACAATCTTGTTTTTTTTCATTACAATTTGCAATTAGTAATTAACCTTTTGTGTTTTAGATTTTTTATAATAAAGGGATAACTCAGTGCAGAGACTCCCATTTTATGGACTCTGGGAGTCGGATGTACGCAGCCTTACCCCTATTTTTGCATGAAATCTGATTTTTTTTCATTTGATTCCAAATTTGTAGCAGGATCTGAATGGTGATCATTTCAAAAGGTGAATCTTGTGAACCATGGGAAGACAGAAGCATTCTGATTCTTATCCTGAGTATAGTAACAGCCTCTATCATATTATTAAGCACCATCCCTTATGTCACCATTTCATACAAAAAAGACAGACATACAACAACTGTGACGACGGCGAAACAAGTGTTACAGGTTAGCACAATTTCATGTCTCGTCTGTTAGAACATTAAACATGGTTTAAAAGAAAACAGATACAAAGAATGTGGGAAATTCGGTCATGAAGTTCAGTCAACTGTGTTTATATGTCTCTGAATACATAACATACGTAAGAGTTGCATGAAATTTAGAAGTGAACATGTAACTCGTATAGAAAATTGTACAAGACAGAGACATCTCAAGTTTTCGGATGCTTTGTATAGGTTAACATCAGTTTAAGTATGACAAATCAAATAGAGACCTTATTTTATCATAGTTTAACCGTGACAAATAGTTTATGAGACTCTTTTTACCTGCGACTTAAACTTGTCAAATTATAGGTCTTGTGCGAAACCCTATCTAAGACGGCCCTAATGCAAGACATAAAGATGTCATTTCCTTCACATATTTGAAAACTTATTACTTAATCTCATTTGCAGGAACTGTACTTGCACAAAGGGATGAAGCTTTCTCATGTGACAAAAGGAAGAACCTAAGTCTTGCAAAGTTAAGCAACTTATATGTAAGTTCTAACCATCATGTTATTATTTTTGTCGTCCGGCTTTGGTTTATATTCCCTCTTGCTTGCTCTAAGTTTTTATTTTGAGTAAATATATATTTTGGTCTCTAAAATATATTAGACATTGTTGCTATAGTCTTCAAATGAATCATAATTACAAAAATATCCTAAAATATGTCGATCGTTAGTCGGTTTGGTCATCAAATGTGTCTTACGCCAGTTAGCTTAGTCTTCGAATGTGTCTTCTAACAGTAGCATCTAATTTGAAGCATGACAGGTTGAAGAAAAGGTGACACCACATTCTTCATATGGAAAAGGATGTTCACAATGTGATGCTACATCTAGCAGCGATTACTTGGAATGTAACTTATGCTGCAAGCATCATCAACATACGAAAAATGACTTACTTGTGCCACAAGTAAATGATAAAAAGAAGCATAAAGTGGAAAGTTATGCAAGGAAGCATTTATTTGGAGTTTCCACTCGCCTATGCAAGCATTTTGTCGACGGTTTTGAAACAACCAACATGAACAAGAAAATATTATTAACATTTCGTCACGATCCCGTCTTTCCTTTGGTCTATCACTTCCATAAACAACAGCATTTGCAAAGAGCAAAAATGACACTAAATAGGTCTGAATCATTTCCTTTTCCTTATTCATTATCTAAAACAAAAGGGATCGGAAGATTATACAGCGAAAACAAAACAAGAAAGCCGGTTCAATTCGTGTCATCAAGAACAACATGTGAACAGGTCATGCCATCGGTAGCAAAAGCGAAAGTAAATGGAAATTTCAATATGAATGATGCAGTTATAATAGTAAGAGATGTTAAGTTTTCTTCGGTTTCTGCAAAGGGTCAAAATAGTCTCAAACAAAAAATTGAGCATGTAACTGGCGAGAGCGGTAAAGAAAAGATTCGTGTTGCAATGGATTCGGTCATTCATAAACTTCCTCAAGGCCAAAGGATATCAGATGAATTGAAGAATGAAATTTTGAAGAAATTGACAGATCCCATTACTAAAAGAGAAGTTCAACACAAAAGTTTCATAAGAAGGACCGTAAGCTCCATAAGAAGGACCGTGTCTCTTCAAGAACCGCTCGAAAGTTATTGTAAAACGCTAGAGAACAGCTTCAAAACAGTTGCAAGAACCTCTCATTCAGAGAAACTAAAACTAGAAAAACAAAAGGCACATTCGCCGTTAAGAATGTTGATACCTCTTCAAAGAATACTTTCTTTACCTGATCTTCAATCTTTTTCATATGCTTCTCAGAAGGGAGATTTTTCTGATTTTACTCCGGAAAATCATGTCATTATAGATAAAAATGATTTGCTGATTAGTAATATTGTGAAATCATCAGGTACGATATTCATAATTTGTGAGATTTTAGTACTTCTAGTATAAATAGTGTCCAACTCAATTGTAATTGCAGCATGGCTCGTCTTAAGTTTTTGAAACACTGTATAAATTAAGCCACAATTGAACTCTAGCCAAATAAAAAGGGCCCATATTTTAACTGTGACAAATATTTTATAAGGCCCTATTTAACCATGGTTTAACCGTGTTAAATTTTAGGTCATAGGCAATAGCCCTCCTTATATGTTCTTAAAGACCGTCCTGATTGCAGTTACTAACTTTTCTAACTAATGTTGATAGGTTCAATATCTAAGTTGGATTATGCCGATAAACCGAACAATGTGGTTCAAAAACTTGAAATTCCAACCAAGAAGTTGAACGTTGATATTCCTCAAATTCATGTGGACGCCAAACTCAAAGAAGAGTTTAACTATGTGAAATATGTTCTTGAAATATCTGGATTCACAAGTAATGAAAGCATTTCAGCATGGCATTCTAAAGACACTCCACTTGATCCATTACTATATGAAGAAATGGAAAATGATCCTGAATTTTGTGGTAAAATAAGTGGTGAATGTAATCATCATGTATTGTTTGATTTGATTAATGAGACCATGTTGGAAATTTATGGTAAGTCATATGGTTACCCTTCTATTGTAGGGTGTCACATTCTTCAAAAAGTATGGACTCTTATGAGTAAGTCTTTGTGTTTGGGATATAAAGTTGGTCAAAAGATAGATGATCATGTAAGTAGGGATTTAGCAAAAAATGATGGGTGGGTTAACATTCAATTTTATGATGAATGTTTTGGTTTGGAGGTGGATCACATGATTTTTCATGATCTACTTAAGGAAATAGTGTTGGATTTAGCTTGTTTATGAGATAGTTATTGAAATAATAATAAATTTGCTCTTAGTTATGTATATTTCACTTTTGACCTCAATTATTATGTTTTAATATACAAGTATGAAATATCTATTATAGATAAACAATAATTAATCTTTGCTAGAAAGTCACTTAGACACGTAAAAATAACTTAGTTGAATTCTAACTATTTAAGGTGTTTGAATTTCTTATCATTTAAGTCATTAAGATGTTATCTCTTAATTTTTATTGAATATTTTCACAGGTGTATTTTATAAACCAATAGAAGAGAAGTTAATCATTAGCAGCATTTTTTCACAAATGTATTTTCACATGTTCATACTTTTCTTCAATAAAAATATGATAAATATACCAAAATATTTTTTAGGGAGTAAAAATAAGAAGTGTATGCGAAAATTATACGGTTATCATATTTTTATCGGAAAAAGTAAAAACCACACCTAAGGAAATGCACCTAAGTGTTTTACTGTTAGGTCGAGCAATATTTCAACAAGCCCGTCTAGCTCAGTTGGTAGAGCGCAAGGCTCTTAACCTTGTGGTCGTGGGTTCGAGCCCCACGGTGGGCGACTTTGATTTTTTTTTTCACGTATTTTTGTTCAAATTAATTGTAACTTTGATTTTTTTTCAAAGTATTTTTGTTCAAATTAATTATATAATCCACATTCCTTACTGTTCTGGTATTAATATATATTTTTGTTGAAATTTATTATCCACATTTCTAATGCTAAAATCAATATATTAGTAAAATAATCCATATGTTACAATCACTAAAACAAGAACATCAAACAATAGAAATTAGAACAAAATGTAATCCATATATAAAAGGAAACAATAAGACTGTTCAGATCACACACCTGAATTGTGTGTCTTCCCATTGCTAATAGCCATAATCTCTGCAGCTATATGAAACTGATGCTACCAAAAAGCTTCATTCTCTGCCCAATATCTGGCCCATGACATTGTTATTCTCTTGCCAAAGAAATAAACTAACTGATAGAACTTACTCTTCCTATGATAACAAAATGATACCTATAAATAAAACGAGAGAAATACAACTTCTATGGAAGACGTCGTGAACGCAGTTTTGGTCCACCGTTTCAAGTCCATAAGATAAACAATTTATGAAGTACTAACACAGACATGATACTGACATGTCAACGCCGGTAATGATTTTAGAAATACAAACACATGTGTCGGTGTCAAACCCTGGACACACCTCCAATCTAAAGTGTCAGTGGTGCATTGTAAACGATGCAAGATTGGACCAATTTCAAGCCATTCAATCACTTTCTGCAAGAGAATGTTATATCTTGAGTTTTCCATTTACAAGAATATCATAAGTAGTATCATCAGGCACGAGACCTTTATCAAGCATCTCATCATGCAGTCTAAAAGCCTCTTGCAGATTACCCTCCTTAAAGTGTCCAGCAATTAAAGTGTTATATACAAGAACTGAAGGAGTAATATTATTCCCATTCATCTCCTCTAGAATCTTGTCTGCGTTCTTTAGTTGTCCATGGTTACAGAGTCCGTTTATTAGAACTGAATACAAGACGATATCAGGCACGATACCCTTGGATAGCATCTCTGAGTAAAGATCTAAAGCGAAACTCAATTTACCTTCTTTCAAAAGGCCACCAATCAATGAGGTATATATCTGCAAATCACATGGAACCTTATTCTTTATCATTTTCTGGTGCAAGTTAAGCGCTGCTTCCATATTATTCAAATGTCGGAAGCCACTAATCATGCTGTTATAAACAACTGTGTTTGGAGTCAAACCAACTTCCAAAAGTTCGGCGAAAAATTTGCTTGCACTTTCCATGTCTTGCATTTTGCAGAAACCATCAATGAGAGCACTATATGCAATAACATCCAATTTCATACCCTTGTATTTCATATCATTAAGCATTTCCAAAGCAATACCAATCTTATTACATTTGCAAAATCCATCAATCAAACTAGTATAAATGGTAACATTAGGAGAAACTCCATTTTCGCACATCTCCCAGTAGGCAGACATTGCAGATTCAATCGCACCTTCCTTAACAAATCCATTTATGATGCTTTTATAAGTAATGGAAGTAGGAATAAAACCCTGCTTGATGAAATTGTTCAACTTGTCATGTATCTCAGACACCCGGCCAGTTTTACACAAACCGTTTATAATAGTGTTAAATGTATGGTCTGTAGGCGCAATATCAGCAGCCTTCATTTGCTCTAACACGGCAAAGGCTCTCTCCGAATCACCCTTTTTGAAAAAACCATCTATTAAAAGAGTGTATGTAACCACATTCGGTTTCAAACCCCTTCCAAGAATATCATTCAACACACTATACGCATCATCCATGCAACCCTTTTTGCAATGACCAAGTATCAAGTTGTTGTAAGAAACTAATGAAGGTGTAATACCCTGACTCATCATCTTGTCCCATAAATTACAAGCCTCATCAACTTTACCGGATTCACAGAGCCACATTAAAACAATGTTATAAGTAACAACATTAGCAATACCAAGTTCAACCGCCTCATCAAGCAATCCATACGCATTTTCAAGCAAATTCTGTTTCCGGAATCCTTTCAACAGAGAATTCAAAATAGAGACACTTGGCTGGATTCCCATAAATTTCATTTGAGTGTAAAACTCATACGCCTTCTCCATATTCCCAATGATAGAGAACCCATCAATCAAATTCGAGAACATAATCACGTCAGGAGCAACACCACCCTCAACAATCTCGTCAAACAACTGCACCGCAAGATTCACATCTCCTTGCACACAATACCCTTTCATCAAACTTCTTGCAACAATCACATTCACAGGTAAACCAACACTCACCATCTCATCCTTAAGCCTCAACGCCTCCTTAACATTTCCATACTTCACACAAGCAACAACAACAGCCGTATACGTCCCCTCAGATGGAACCCACCCCAACTCCCTCATCTCCTTCAACAACCCACACGCCAAATTCAAATCCGGCACCTTACAAACCGCCTGAACAACAATACTATATGCAGCCGCATCAAGCACCAACCCTCTCCGCTTAGCCTCCTCAAAAAACCTCCCCGCCTCCTCAAACTTCCCTTCCTTCAAACACGCACGCATAACCACATGCAAACTATAACAATCACCATACATCCCTCTCTCAACCATTTCATCAAACAGCTCGCGTGCACTCCGAATCATATTCCTCCTAACCATCGCAGTCAAAAGTATATTCATAACCGGAACCCAAGGAACCATATCATAATCTAACATAGTTCTAAAACACTCAACAGCATCGGTAATCTTATTCGCTCTAACAAAACTATTCAAAAGATAATTAAAAACCCGCGAATCGGAATCGGAATCCGATCCAAAACCATACTTTCCCGAACACTCTAGCAACTGCTCCACGAGTATCTTAGCAGAAGGAGTGGAATCAGTAGAAACATATACGTTGAGTAAATTTCGAGCATAGCTGTGAGTTTTTGGGGTGGAAGACAAAATTTGAACTAATAAACAGAAAACATCAACGGTTTTGATGAATCCTCGTTTTCTCTCAACGGTTTTGAAGAATTTGAAAGCTGATTTGGGGTTGGATTTGTGGGTCAAGAGGGTTTCCAAGATGTGGTTTTGAGAAAGGTTTGTGGAGGGATGGGGTTCGGGTGAAGTGATTTTGTCGGAGAAATGTTGTGGTGGTGGTGGGTTGGTGGAGAGATGGGAGAAGAGGCGGAGGAGATTGGTCGGGGGGATTGAGGTAAGGTTGTTGGAAAACCTCGTACGCATATTGTCGACAGAGGATGAATTTGAAGTTTTCGGAAATGATAATGATTTATTTCATTGTTTGTTTGCATGTATTAACGTTAATGAGAAGATGAAGAGACGGCGCGGCTGAAGAGACGGCGAGTATTGTTTGAGTAGACTCAAGAGTGAGGTATTGGAGTAACAAGCCTTCTCAAATTTTTAGAGTTACTGTGGAAAATTTAAGGCATAATTACACCACCATCTTTTAGGTTGTTTTTCTTTAACACAATAATTCGATCCTTTTAAGTTAACAAAGCGTGTGTACCATTATTTTTTAAATTTTTTTATTAAATCAATTGTCCAAAATATATAAAGTAGTATCAAAATACATAAATCAATATCTTAAATACATAAAGTAATATTTTAATTTAATACATTTGTTAATTTAAAAGATTAAATTGTTAAAAAAAATCTTAAAAGACCAATTTATTATAAAAATTAATTTAAAGAATTTCTGATATAATTTTGCCAAATTTAATTATAATTTAAAATTTTAACATAGAAATTCATTAAATCAACTCAATCATTAGTTACAAGAACATCAACGATAAGAACACAATTTGAATCTACACCATCTTATTTATTTTAATGATAAATTTCAGTCATTAAATTACTTGACAACGAAAAAAATATTAACAACTTATTTAATTATGTTTTAATCTTTAAAAAATTGGGTCAAAGTAGTTTGTCTTGCAAATGTTTAAGATGATCCTAAAAAAAAAGTATCAATTGATTTTTCATGGCTTAAATAAAATTGTATGATTTATTTTTTTAATATTTGTTTTGATATTTTATATTATTTTATATTTGTGTTACTTATTTACTTTTTTCTGAGTCAGTCAAAGGTCGAAAAAAGTTAAGGTCTAAATTAATGTCGATCAACTCTAAAATGTAGTGTTTTAAAAGTGAGACTGAACCAATCGGTCGAATCGAAAACTGAAAGGGTCACTGGACTAGTCTGATTGTTAGATCGAATATGTTATTGAAACAATGGGAGTTGGTCAGAACTAAAGACACGTGAAAACACAGCAGAAGGCAGAAGCAGAAGCCCACATAACAAGATATGTGTCAAATCTTTTGATGTACGTAGCATATAAGTAGATTTTGTCTCTAGGACAAGAGTATGCATTTTTCATTGTTGTTCTCTATAGAATTCATACATTCAAGTTACAAAGATAAATAATTTGTAAGAAATGTATGAACTTACTTTAACTCTCTTTCTTCATTTACTTTATCCTTTCAAGCAATTCTACATTTTACTCATTGGAATTTTTATCCAATAGCTTTAAATTCAAACGTTAAACCTTTAAGCACGAACAAATACACTTTCTCAAACGTTTCACACAAAATGTATTTAGAATTTTTTCGAGTTTAATCTTTTAATTGAACTAAAACTTGTGATTTGTTTACGAAAAATATCAATAAAAAAATTGGCACGCCCAATGGGAGCCTTTTGTGCAAAAAGTTTAAATTTCTGCAGAAAAATGTTTGTGTTTTTATTTTCAATTTTATTCTTTATACATACAATGTTTTCAATGTCTAGGTGTTTATGCGTCTAAGGAGTGATAAATTTTTTGAAATGGTTCATCAATTGTCGAAAAATCCTTTCACTCCCCAGAACGACACTCCAAATGCAAAATAATAAACAGTTGAAGTGACGGTTTGTGGGGCAAATATTTTAACAACCTTTGGAGTAATTGTTCCTATTGTAAGTCAAACGCCAGTTTCGACGACGTTATTGAAATGGTGGTCTCCCCTCTATAACCAACCAATTTATCAACTACTCCTAGGGTTACACAAACCATTATAGGAAACCTTAGGCCTTCATTCCTACAAAGCTTTACGCTTCCCCTAGTAGTAAGGAATATCCATATGGCATGCCAACTACAATGATGGCAGGCCTACAAACTAATGTGTTTATGTATATAGATAAATGCAATGTGTGATCAGTGGATCTGGAACTGACTGTTTAACGCTGGTTTCGCGAAATGTCGCGGAAGCAAGAGTCGCCACCGTCTTTTATTTTCTCCAATATGGACAGGACAAAAGCACAGCAAAATTCCTTATGAGATAGTTTCTCGATTCGGGAGGTAGATTTATAGAAAGGGAAGGTGTTAGCACCCTTTCTATCCATGGTTATCCATGGGCTCTTAGATACTTGCTCATTGTGTTTTCAAAAGTGTTTGCTTTTCAGTTGTGAGTGGGTTTGAAAAAGTTTCGTTTAAAGATTTCAGATCGACTCTTGTATCAGTCCTCAAGAGTGTTTGAAAAATCATTTTGAAAGCTTTTTGAAAAGTGTCGGTGTGAAAAGAAGTTTTGATTTGTTTTGAATTAGAGCAAGTATCTATAAGTCATCTACCTACCCTAAGGAATTAGGCTGTGTAAATATCCTTAAGGTAGTGCCATCCCACCATTGAGAGGTAGGTAGCACCACCGTTGGAGGTGTTCGGGTCAATTCGAGTTAAGGGACATTGTGGTCACCAGAGTAACAGTAGGACACCTTAGAAGCTACCCTTATGCCATTGATCTTTTTAATTCCGAGGCAACCGTTCCGAGGCAACTTTTCCGAGGCAACTTGTTTTAAGGCAACTAGATCAACGGACATAAGGACTTACTAAGACGTCCTATACTCGACGACCACGTTTCGAGGGGCAAGGCAACAATGAGGCGTACCCTAAGAGTGGTGTGTGAATTTGTGTGTTATTTTCATGTTATGTTATCTTTGATCAGGGCATTTGTGAGCTACGAGTTATTTTTAATTAGCATGCATTCTTTCATACAAGTTAACAGTTAAAGGGGGTGCGGAAAATAAATTGCGGAAACGTAAATCCTACGTTATTACAAGGCGCGGGTCTATACATCGCCAAAAATTTACAAAGACCCGTTTTAAGTAAATAAGTACGGAAAATAAAAAAAACAGTAAAAGGTCCTATTTACTATTACATATCCGGAGCAATTACATAATAATCAAAGATAAGGAAATAAAATTAAAATGCGCGCGAATAAAATTAAATCGGAATGTTCTAAGGGTTTTGACCCTTTTAAGAAAAGAAAATAATTTTTTTGGTCTTTTTGGTAATTAAATGAAATTGAAAGCTTAATTAATTATTTTAATTACAAGAAAATATTTTTTGTTTTTATATTTTTTATATGAAATAAAATAGAAAAAAGAAATAAAATTCTAGGTTAACCTAAATCTAAATCTATTGTAATTATTAAAATGAATGTTAAAATGGCCTAATTAACAACTAATTCAATTATGATTTATTTACAAAATAAAAATAATAATAAAAGTGTTAATTATATTTTTTGGTTTTTTTGTGAAAATGTTAGTTAAATTAATTTAATGATAGAGTAATTATTTTTTGGTGTTTTTTGGATCAATTTGATAACTAAAAACAAATAAAAGACAATTAATGATTATTTAGCAATTAATTAAAATATGCATGCAAAAAATATTATTTTTAATGTCAAAAATTAAATAAACATTTTTCTGATTAAAATGCAAAAGGAAAATATTTTTTGTGAGTTTTTAAATGCATGAGAAAATTATTTGAATATAAATTAAATCAAGATTAAAAATATAAAAAAAGGAGGAAAAACAAAGAAAGCAAGAAAATTATGGAAAAGGTGGAAAAAGGCCAGAACCAGGACTTGAACTCGTGCCCTCTGGGAATATCCACTGATGCGTTGCCATCTGAGCTGCATGTTTTAATTGAAACAATAATAACACATATATATTATATTAGTAAATCAAATATTCCCCTGGAAAAAAAAAAAGAAAAGCGCGCTGATATTCAAACGGACAAATAAGGAGGGGACGCGTCAGTGTCTTCTTCCTTGGACACTGGTTCTTTTACCTACGGATTTCTATCCGCAGGAAAGTTCGCAGGCTGCTTCAAAAATGGTCCTCAGGCCATGAAAACACCACCTAAAGCCATGGATGATCTCGTCTATGTCCACTGATCTCACTTATGCCCTTGGATGACCTTGATTTAACCTGAAACAAAAACGCCTAAAACGAAGAAACGTGAACCCTAGAATCGGGCACCACGATTCAGGGCCTAACAATGAAATTGGCTAATGCAATCATGTTGGAAATTGATCAAGGAACATGAATATGCCAGCTTTTTTGAGAAAAAACGCAAGAATAGGGAGTTCCAGATTCATGCTCAGAGACGAGTTTGTGATGACTTACAGTGATGTATAGGAGGTCTTAGGGTTTGGCAATGGTCGCGTTGGCTTCAGGGCGTTGCCAGGAAGGAAGTTGCGTCTTTAGTTTTGTATGGAAAGGCCTGCAAGATAGCTTTAGGTCTCCCATGCAAACAATGTTATTTAAAAATGCAAAGCTTATGTCTGTCTTGAAGTTTTTGAAAATGCATTTTTCAGTAAAACAAGCAAATTTTGTAAAATGTGATGTCAACTCAGGATTTTACAGCGAGCCTTAAGAAGTCAGGATACCTTTGTAACTGTATGCTTTCGAACTAACCAATGCTTCAGCTAGGACTTTTAAGGGTTATAACGTGGCCTGGTTCAAGGTTTAAGAAACAAAGGATAAAGGCTCAAAGTATTTGTACCCACCCGTTCTTCGTAATGTCCTTCAAACCTAAACTCAGCTGATCGTGCGTTAGACCTTGTTTGAGTTTTTGTCCTGATATACCGGTGATGGTTCGGATGTTGACAATTTATTGTGACTAGGTAGTCATTTCTTTTTTTTTTCGTTGAGGGTTTGTAGGACCTCTTTCTTTTTTATTGTGTTATCCCTAAATTTTGCCTGAACTGTTTCTTTGTGGTTGCAGTCAGCGGGATGCCCCAGTTTTGTAAGTCTCCTTCATAGGTTTTGACTTATTGGGCTTTAGTTTTTTTTTTGGTAATGACTGCCTGTCTTTATGATTATTCGGGACCATCATTGTCTTTTGTTTTGGAAGGACTCCTTTGATGCTGTTCGTTGTGCACCTGGATTAACTGAGAGAACTACCCTG